GGGCGGGACCAAGGTGAGGGCTCGCGGGGGGGCGTTTCACCACGTGGCGTTCGACCCCCCTTCCCCCCGCGGTCCGCGCTCCCGAGGGCTGCAGCGGCCTGGGGGGAGGGGCACGGCCCAGTCCTGGCCCCTGCACGGAGTTGGGGGATGGGGCACTGGGCAGGGGGAGGTTGGTGGTATCGATGCCCCGCCGGGCGCAGGGAGCCCTGCGGGGGCCCGCGGGCCAGAGGTTGAGTGCCCCTGTGCCAGCCTGGCAGGGACCTTCCAGCAGTTGCCATGGTTTTTTGCATTGTCTGCCCCTCAGCGCACTCCTAACGCTGCTGGGCTTGGCGTGTCCTGTTGAACACGATGATTCATAGTTAGGGGCTGCAAGGGACCTTACAGATTGTCGGGTCCAGCCCCCTGCACATGGGCGGGAAAGACTGCTGTGACCCCAGCGAGATGGGCGTCGAGACCGTTTTTGAAGAGGACCAGGGTGGGTGACTGCACCACCCCTGGGGGAGTTTGTCCCAGACCCATGGCACCTGCACCCCGCTTCTCAGATCCCAGAGCTGCCCGCGGCGCCACGCGTCTGGCAGGACTGAGAACTGCTGCCCTAGAAACGCCGCTGTGACTGCCCTTCCTCATTGTGTAACAGTTCTGTCCTCCCCTGCCCCACCCCGGGCCTCTGATGTGTTTCACTGCTGCTTTCTTCTTCCTTTGTAGTATTTACGATGGGTATTTTGATTTCTGTATCCGTGTCTGCTCTGTCTCTTGCACTGCCTCTCAGTTTCGAGCTGTGGTTCTCAACCTTTCTAGGCTTCGGGCGCCCCTGCTAGACTCAAGGCTGCCCTTGGGAAATGCCAGCCCTTGGTTTTTGCTCATTTCTCAACTAGAGAAAAATAATAGAGCAGTTCTCCTCTTGCAAAGGACCCCAACAGCGCAGAATGGTTTTCACGCTGTGGATTCCAGTTTGAAATCTCTGGGTTTATCCTGTGAATCATGTTTGCGTACGTCGCAGCATTAACATTGCATGGCATCCTGTGGCACCCTTGAAAAGATCTGAAGGCACCCCAGGGTGCTGTGGTTCCCTGGTTGAGATTCGCTGATTTAGATCTTTTGTAAAAAATAATTTTTAATGTGTTTGTGTTGCACACAGCAAGATTATGTCATGCTTGCTGCTTTGGATGAGACGGAAGAGCTAGTGGACGGTGGGAAGAAAGGAGCAATTGATGACCTGGAGCAAGGTGAATTAGAAGCGTTCATTAATTCGCTAGGTGTGTCCAAGTACTCAAACAGTTTCCTCGTGGTGGAGGAGGAAGAAGGAGGAAAAGAGAAGCTGGCAAAGAAGGAGAAAGTCAGCAAAAAGGAAAGTGGTGCCTCTTCACTCGAAGGAAAGAAAGCAAATCAAGTCAAAGAAAAGAAAGGAAAGGAACAGATCAGTGTTGGCAAAGATGGTAAGAAAAAGTCAGCTCCTTGTAGTGAAGATCCAGTAGCAAAGAAAGAGAAGCAGGAAGACATCTTTGAATTTCATGCTAGGCAAGTCTTGCTGATCAAACCCGGGGGAAAGTGGCATGATCTAGAGTATACCAAGGAATTCTCTTCCGAGCAAGAAAATCAGGCTCTTGCGTCAAGTTATAAAACTTTGGCCCAAAAGCTGTACCAGCATGAGGCAGAGATGTACAAGAATAAGACAAATCTTCAGAAGGGATCCTCTTCAGCTTGGATGAAAACCGTCGTGTCATCCGGGACGCTAGGTGACAGGATGGCAGCCATGACCCTTCTTATCCAGGACAGTGCTGTCCAATCTTTCCAATTTGTTGAGACCTTGGTGAACCTTATCAAAAAGAAGGGCAGCAGGCGCCAGAGCCTAATGGCTTTGGATACTTGCAAGGAACTCCTTGTTTCAGATCTTTTACCAGACAATCGTAAGCTGTACACTTTCTCTCAACACCCTTTCCACAAACTAGAGAAGCTATCCAGTGGCAACAGGGACTCAAGGGACAGGCGACTGATACTGTGGTACTTTGAGCATCATCTGAAGCAGTTGGTAGCAGAGTTTGTGCAGACATTAGAATCGCTGAGTCACGATGCTTTGGTGGCAACGAAGGCCCGAGCACTTGCAGTGGCTTATGAACTTCTCTGTAATAAGCCAGAGGAGGAGAAAGCTCTTCTTGTGCAGCTGGTAAATAAACTGGGAGATCCTCAAAACAAAATTGCCACCAAAGCCTCTTATCTGCTGGAGACCTTACTTCATAAACACCCAAACATGAAAGGAGTAGTGTGTAATGAAGTGGAACGGCTTCTGTACCGATCAAACATTAGTGTGAAAGCCCAATACTATGCAATTTGTTTTTTAAATCAGGTTGTCCTCAGCCATGAGGAGAGCGAGCTGGCTAATAAGCTGATAACTCTATATTTCTGCTTTTTTCGGACTTGTATCAAGAAAAAGGATGTTGAATCTAAAATGCTTAGTGCTCTTCTGACTGGCGTAAACAGAGCTTACCCCTATGCTCAGACTGGTGATGAGAAAGTGAAAGAGCAAATGGACACTTTGTTTAAAGTATTACATCTTGTGAACTTCAGCACTAGTGTCCAGGCCTTGATGTTGCTTTTCCAAGTAATGGACTCTCATCAGACAGTGTCAGACAGATACTATGCAGCACTGTACAAGTAAGTGATTAACTTTTATTGCCTGTTCAACACTACATTTTGCAAAATGGAAATTGTTATCTAAAAATGTTATTGCAGAAACATGTATATAATTTGCCTTTAACATCTTTTCCAGTGTTTCATATCTACCTGTCCATTTGTCACATTGCTGCTTGGTGTTTCTTTATATGCTGGAAGAAAATGTCCATTAGTCTTACAATGCAAAGAATAAAGAAGTTGCACTTGTGGTAGCTGCACAGGTCATGAAAACAGAACATATAAACTCTATGTATACAGAACATATATAACTCTGCTGTTTCTGATTTCCAGTTGCATATTTTAGTCCCATGCTTAAGTCTGAAACTACTGAATAGTTCCCTCTTCTGTAACTCCTCTTTCAGCTGTCAGTTTTCTGTTTTATCAATGCATTTGCCTAGAAAACTCCATATTATTGCACTTTGTGTGTCAGGAGGGTGGGTGGAGAGGAGGGGTCCCCTGTGTATATGAAGCATTGAAAATCCAGAGATGAGACTATGTTAGAGGTCCTGTGTTATAGAGCCATCCTTTTCCCAGACCTCTTGGAAGCATCTTTACAATCCTTACATGCTACTGCTTTACTCACTAAAGAGAAGCCCTAATTTAACATGGGGCACGGATTTCCTCCTTATTTTTTGTGGGTTACTCAGTGCTTTTCAGGGTTTGGAAACCTGAAGTGTAAGGGGATGGGACTCTACATGTGTCTGGTCTGACTGTATGGTGATGCTATGAACTACTGCTTTTCTTTCCCCTCTTTAAAACTGTCATTTCCATTCATTGAGAGTTAGAGTAGCTTACATGGAGTTGAGTCTGTTCTGATATTTGAAAACCAAATTAAATGATTTTTTTCCTGTTGGGGTGGGGGTGGGGGAGGGGAGGGGGCAACTGTCTTATCTTCTTCTTATGCATGGGCCACTTTCTCTATTGAGACCGTCACCTAACAGTTCAAAAAGGTTTTTTCACATTAAATATTATGTATAAACGTACCTATAGAAGAATTCAATAGCTAGTCAGCATTTACTGTCTTATTTTATACACTTTAGTATAAATATTAACTGAGGTATTTTAGATCCCATTGTGTAATGTAGGTTACTCAGTAGGTTATTGCTGACATTAATAGTAATGTATTTATCTTATGGAGAACTAGAAGGAAGAGTTACTAATAATCATGATCTGTTTTCTGCAGGAAGCTGCTCGATCCAGGGCTAGCACTGTGTTCAAAGCAGTCCATGTTTCTTAACCTTGTCTACAAGTCTCTGAAGGCAGATGTAGTGCTGCGGCGGGTGAAAGCCTTTGTGAAGAGGTTGCTCCAAGTCACATGTGGACAAATGCCTCCGTTCATTTGTGGAGCCCTGTACCTTGTGTCTGAGCTTCTTAAAGTAAAACCAGGGCTACGAGTCCAGTTACAGGATCATGTGGTATAATGTTACTTTTAAAAACATTAATTTTATGTGTTGGTCTTCTATATGCTGTCTCTAGTGTCACTAAAACTTGTTACCCTTCCCATCTCTTCCCTTTTACAAGTGATTCCTATCCCTGGAAACGCTGACTTCCTTAAATATATGCCTGAATAAGGTGATTGGTTATTTGGCTTTTGCCCTGGCACAAGGTTAGGGTACATGATCTGTTATATCACAAGGATGTACTGCCCCTTAGTAGCTGCCTGGATAAGAGCATGCACACATGGGTAGATGAAAAAGAAGTATGCTACCATGGTTTCATTTTTGTCTACTATAGGGTAAAGTTACTGTGGAGCAGCTGATGTATGCAAAATTACCACTATTTTCTTTTGCCAGGCGATTAGTTCAGGGGCACCCACCAAGCAGTTTTATGTATGGTGAAAAGCAGCATAACACAGGATAATTGTTTTCAATTGATACTCCACTGGCCCATTCATGACCAAGGGTCATTTTGTTTCTAGATGCTGTACAGATGCATAATAAAATACAGTCCTTGCCCCAACCATACTTCCCTAAATTTATATTTGTCACTCATTTCCCCTACCCTAACTCACCACCTGTTTCTTCCAGCCCTCCTGTACTCAGTGTCCATTGCTGCTTGACTCTCAGCTTTTCTCCTTCCATCGTGTCTGGACTGTTCCATTTTTGTTGTACAAATGTCCCCCTCCTTAAAACTTATTTTTTCAGGAGCATATTCTATCTTTGCCTTTTTTCCCAGTCATCTCTGCAATCTGCCAGTTCCTAAATGGACTTCCTTCTGATTTTGCTGAAGTTAATAGAAATGTTGTCTTTGAATGTAATGGATAAAGGAGCATGTCTGTAATGGGTAAAAGAGCATGTCTTTCTTGTAATCTGTTTGGGGACAAATTGCATTTTTATTTTGTAAAGTAATATAAAAGTTATAGCACTTCATATTATATTTAATATTATTCCAGTATCAGCACTATCACTAGAGCTAACTGATCATGGTTTGATCAGTGTCAGCAATTTAGTCTTCACATTTTTTTAATCCACATTTTAGGATAGATTATGCCAATTTGTTTTAACACAAAACTTACTGGAACAAGCTGCCTGAAAACCCACAATTGAAAGAATGGTGCAACTAAATTCTGTTGGGTGTTTTATAATGTTGTTTTGCTGCCTCTTCTGTTGCTGCCCCCATTTACAGTGGTATTTTGATTTTTCTTGGGTCTTCGATGCACTAGTGAAATGATTTCATAGGCATTAGGGCTGGAAGGGACCTCGGAAGATCATCGAGTCCAGCCCCCTGCCCAAAGGGCAGGAAGTCAGCTGGGGTCATAGGATCCCAGCAAGATAAGCATCCAATTTACTCTTGAAGGTGTTCATTGTAGGTGCTTGAACCACTTCCGATGGCAGGCTGTTCCAGACCTTGGGGGCTCGGACTGTAAAGAAATTCTTCCTTATGTCCAGCCTGAAACAGTCTTGCAGTAGTTTATAACCGTTCAACCTCGTCAGCCCTTGGGGCGCTCTGGTGAACAAAGGTTCCCCCAGATACTGGTGGTCACCCCTGATAAACTTATAGGTGGCCATCAGATCACCCATGAGCCTGCGCTTTTCCAGGCTAAAGAGCCCCATGGCTCTCAGCCTGTCGTCGTATGGTCTTCTCCTGACCTCTGATCATGCGCATGGCTCTTCTTTGGACTCTCTCAAGCTTCTCCACATCCTTTTTGAATTGTGGAGCTCAAAACTGGACGCAGTACTCCAGTTGCGGCCTCACCAAGGCCGAGTGCAAGGGGAGAATGACGTCCCGGGATTTGCTTGAGAAGCATCTCTGAATGCAAGCCAGCGTTTTGGTCGCTTTACTAGCCACAGCATCGCGTTGAAGGCTCATGTTCATCTTGTGGTCAATGACGACCCCCAAGTCTCTTTCTTCCATAGTGGTAGCCAGTATAGAC